TGCCTTCATATAAGACTATTGGAAAAATGTTGTCATTTTAAATCAGCTTTCGATATTGTGTTGTTTATTTTTTCTACCACCACTAATATGGTAGTGTTTTCTTAATTGTCTTTAAACAGGGATTGTGTAAAAGTTCATCTTGAGGGGTCACGAGCCCAAAGGAAAAAGTAGGAATTCCTTTAACTGTATTTTGAATTATTTCAGTAAGTGTTGTAGTGTTTGTGACGGTAACTTATACAGTGTTGTTGATTAAAACACTAATGACATATTTCCTGCAGTTTTAGTGATCAATTAAGGGGGGGGGGTGCAGGTAGGGACCCCACCATCGTAAAGCAAAATTGACACTAAAACGGGAAAATAGATATGAGGTTTAATTCTATTTAAATGATTTAAGATTTATATGAAGCTTCGGAGACTTACTTTTTTACTTCTTTTTTTTTTATGATCGCAGATATTAAGTGAGGTTCTGGGGATTTATGGAAGATATTTTTGTTGTTTCTCTTTTCTCCTTGGTACTATTTGAGACGGTAAGGGAAGAAGACCATGTGATACCTAGTATAATCTGACCCGCCAAGGTCAAGTGGTTCAGTTAATTGAGATTTGCGAAAGGAAGCTTTGTGTAACCCAGCCTCTTTTAGTTATTAAATTTAACAAGGCTGTTTACTCAGTCTGTCTCATATGTTCGGAGCTAACTTGTCTGACTACCATCACAGAATATTTCCCGTGCAAATAAATCTCTCCAGGACTTAGGAAAGATTAGCCCCGAGATAACGCAGCAATGTAATTTACACAACAGAGCTCATTATGCTCGGGTCTGCTTTGCTGTGTACATTAATAGCCATTCTTAATCCCAGGACAACGCCAACACCTCTCGAACGCGTCCTTGAGTGCTGGTGGTTCATAGTACACCACGTGTCATTCATATACCAAGCGGCCGTGAAAGTGATCTCACAAGCTCTCTGTGGTGTTGTTGCTGCTCTACTCCTTAAGAGCTCATAACTTGGCCTTGTGATCTGTTCCGTCTGGGATTGCTCCCTCGCGCAATGCTTGTCTGTTAGCAATTTTGTTCCCATGAAGGTCACTGTAACCGTGGATCGATTTTTAGGTGATGTTTTTACCCTTAGCAAGAATATCTGTGCGCCAAGGCAAGCATGGTGACCCACTAATAAACACTCAATAGATATGCTTTGAACTGTGTTTGTTTGGAACGCACAACATATTCCTTTGTTTGGAACGCATAACATATTCCTTTGTTTGGAACGCGTAGGCAAAGATACCTACCATGGTAAGCTCCTCTTCCTGTGTACGTGGGAACATATTGTCCTTTTGCGCAAAGCTGGTGGCTGCGGTGTGAGTCAGCTGATCTATCTGTAGGGATGATGTTTGCAATACTCCTCTGTCTTTATGCAATGTTATGTGAATTCCATAGGCACAGAATTCACACAATATTGTATGAAAAAGGGCATGGTACTCTGAATGAGGCAAAGTCACGCCTTTAACTGGTAAATGGTCTTTGATCTAAAAATATATCATCGCCTCGATGATGAAGGACAGCCAGGAATGATTTACGAATACCTTAACATGTCCAGGAGAACTGAATGATCTAGGCAGAGAACATGTGATTTCATGTCTGCTTTGGCAAGCTTAGCCTCCACTTGGAGATTCATAGCACCTCATGAGCTACAAGTGATTTATTCTAGATTGACTGAAGTTCGCAAATGCTCCTCTAATGGATAAGGGTGATCAGGGGAACAAGCAATGAGTCCTTTGCACTTTTCACAACCTTTTGTCTGTAGGCGCAAGTCTCCGGCCACAAACAATGCCTCTTCGCTCTTCTCGTGCGTTTTGCAGCCGTGTCCACCTGACACACTTCGATGCTGCACTTAGGTTTTCCCTTTATGCCTGATGGTGCCTATACCTCTTAAAGCTATGAAAATATAAGGGAGATATAACAATAAAACCTAGTAAATCTAATGAATAAATCTAATTATCTGTAACTAGAATTACCTGTAAATATGATGATCTGCAAACATATTTACCTGTGAAACTAATTATTATTTTTTCCAGAGATGACGACTTCGATTCAAAACAACACAGACACAGTCGTCAGTATGCTCAAGGCGCTGCAAGAAGGTAAACTCTTGCTCAGTACTTTAAGACTGCAACACGCGTCTCCCATTAATGTCCACACTGTCCTTTGCCCTTCGTCGGTCTTGTATACTTCTCAAACGAGTCACTGCTTACAGAAATGAGAGCTGGTGCTGTGGCCGAAGTGAAGGAAGCCATTGTGCAGCACGATAGGAGTTTGCAAGAAGCTGTGTCAGGTAAGGAAGGCGGATCTTGCTGAGCCCTGTACTCCCCTGATTCTTCCGTCCAGAATTATCTTTGTATTTTAGATTGATGTTGGATGGAACTCCCAATATCTGGATTTTGTAAATTGTTGTTCAACGCTCTGTGTGCCAAAATTCGTAAAATTGCACACGCACATACACTTTGACCTACAACACAAGCATCGGCACACACACACACACACACACACACACACACACACACACACCACACACACACACACACACACATACACACACACACACACACATACACATACACACACACATACACACACACACACACACACACACACACACATACATATATATATATATATATATATATATATATATATATATATATATATATATATATATATATATATATATATATATATATATATATATATATATATATATATATATATATATGTATGTATGTATGCATATGTGCATATAAAGACCGTAGTGCATTAACGTGAACATGTCGATGCTCCTATTATATAAAAGCTTAACTTAACAAACCCCTTCATAAACGCATTAGCAAGCGAATAGCTTGAGATCCCTCTTTGCGCGCTCATCAAATTGAACAAGGGGCCTGAACTCGCTATCCTTTCAAGAAAACTGGTTAATTTGTTTTGATATTGATACCTTTGCCATGTGGGTTCCTTGGCAGTTCCATTATACCAGGATGTCCATTGCATAGTGACATAGTCTCAGATGTTCAGAGGACTGAACGTTACTGTAGATGTTATGAGATAGGGAAGGATGGACATAATTTTTTTCTTTTCTTTTTTTTTTCTTTCTTTCCGTTTCTTTTCAATTTTTTCCTTTTTGTATTTTTTTTCTTTTATATTTCATTTGTTTTTTTTTTTTCTTTTTGTTTGGTTGTTGCTAAGTGGGAATTTCCCTTCTGTTCCGAGTTTTCCTTTTCTTTCTATAATTTGTATTCCTCTCATATTGTATACTAGAATTTAACTTTGCCTAATTAATTATTCATTTTTTCGTTTATTAGTAGTTAATTTATTAGTTAATGTATTAATCAGTTTATCAATTAGTGCATTAATCAGGTTATCAGTTAGTATATTAATCACTATATCAGTTAGTATTTCAGGTTATAATCATGCAAGTTAGTGCATTAATCAGGTTATCAGTTAGTGTATTAATCAGGTTATCAGTTAGTGCATTAATCAGGTTATCAGTTAGTGTATTAATCAGGTTATCAGTTAGTGCATTATTCAGGTTATCAGTTAGTGCATTAATCAGGTTATTAGTTAGTGCATTAATCAGGTTATCAGTTAGTGTATTAATCAGGTTATCAGTTAGTGCATTAATCAGGTTATCAGTTAGTGCATTAATCAGGTTATTAGTTAAAGCATTAATCAGGTTATCAGTTAGTGCATTAATCAGGTTATCAGCTAATGTATTATTAATCTATCCATTTATCCAATCAGCTTTCACAGACGAGAAAGATGCACTTCTGGCGGAGTTGAAGGAAGCTCAAGAGAGTAAGCTACAAACTGCAATATCAGGTAAGGAAGTTTCAGCTGAAGGTTTGTTTAACTTCCCTATTCTTCCCTTCTTCTTCCTCCTCTTCTACCTCCACCTCCTTACCTTTCCCATCCCCCACGTAATTTTCTTCCTTCCCCTCTCCTTCTCTCTAACTTCCCTCTTCTCTCCATCCCTATCCTTCATTTCCTTCTTCTCCCTCCCTTTGCTCTTCCTCCTCCTCACTCCCATTCCTCTTTTTTTTTTTTCTCTTTCTTTCCCTCCCATCTCTCTCTCTCTCTCTCTCTCTCTCTCTCTCTCTCTCTATCTATCTATCTATCTATCTCTCTCTCTCTCTCTCTCTCTCTCCTCTCTCTCTCTCTCTCTCTCTCTCTTCTCTCTCTCTCTCTCTCTCTCTCTCTCTCTCTCTCTCTCTCTCTCTTCCCTCTCCTCTCCTCTCCTCTCCCTCTCCTCTCCCTCTCCCTCTCCCTCTCCTCTCTCCTCTCCTCTCCCTCTCCTCTCCTCTCCCTTACAAATCAATGATCAGGGATGTGTATTTCAGCCTGAGAGTCAAATATCATCATTATCCGCATTAGATTTTTAAAAAAATCTTAATCATAAATAAAATTCGCGAATGGGAATATAATTAGTGGGAGGACGTGAAGCCTATTATCTTTGTTTACATAATTAAAGAAAAAGAAAAAAATACTGGGTGACATACCCTCCTACCCCTTGTTATTGATTATATATTTACTGCAATGATTAAATATTTACTGCAATAATTATATCTTTACTGCTATTTTGGTGCTGAAGAAAATAATGTGATGCTTTTAATTCGCCTTTCTATGAAAATCGGGTTTAATGTCTCCCCCGATCACCTTTCCTCATCACTCTGACACTTAATCATAAAAAAATATATATCTTTATTAAATATATATTATTTATTATTTATATATATTTATTCGAGGCTTTGCTGATTTCTTTGACGCACCGACAGATCTGGAAACCGGCATGGCGGCTGAATTCAAGGGAGTCTTGGCTTCACAGGAGAGTAAACTTCAAGGTGCAATTTCGGGTAAGGAGAGTGGCTTTCCTCGCTTATCCGGACAGCTGGTGTTGTGGTTGTGCCTTGTGAAACCTGAATGGAAATATAGAATGAGTTGATGTGTTGGAATTTTCTGGGTGTGTTACGTGAGGCTATTCCCCCCCCCCCCCATTGATATTACGCCCGACTAAGCCACTTAATAGGATATTTTCAGTTCTTTATCGGATTCCTATTGACAGACCTGAAAGCCGGAGTTGTGGCCGAACTAATGGAAGCCTTCGCAACTCAGACGAGAAATCTTAAGGGTGCTGTTTCAGGTAAAAAAAATATATATATATATAATCATGTGTATTTGTCTGCATGCACGCGCGCGGGCACACACACACACACACAGATGTGTATATATATATATATATATATATATATATATATATATATATATATATATATATATATATATATATATATATCGTGTGTGTTTGTGTACATATTTTTTTTTCCTTTGTCATAAGAATATTCTTAATTTTAATTACAGCATGCAAATGAATACAATTGATATAATGATGGCATTTCACATTTCATTTTTATAGATATATGTAATTCCCGCCTATTGTATCAATAATTATGCCTGATCATCTGATACCATGTAGGAACAACGAAGGGAAGAACAAGAAAACACACGAATAGGGGCATATTCGTGTGCTTTCTTGTCCTTCCCTTCGTTGTTCCCTTCGCATCCTCATGTGTACCAGGCGCCTGTCCCTCCCCACAGATGACGTGCGGGAGATCTTGATGGAACAGCGTATCCAGGCAGATTTACATCACCAGCAGACTGTGACTCACCTGAACGACACGGTACATGAGCTGCAGAGTCAGATTCAAGAGCGTGAAAGAACGCTGAACGAAACTATAGAGAGAGCTCAGCAGGCTCAGAACAAGGCGCAGCAGCAGGCACAGCTGATACAGCAGTACGAGACCATTCTGCAGCGGCATAATGACACGTTGCAGGAACAAAACAACACCCTGGAACTGCAGAACATCGAAATGCAACAAATGGAAACCGATTTGCAAAATCTGGAAATCCAGCTACAGGAGACAACACTCGAATTAAACAGCATCATTGAAGAACGTGAGAATATCCTCAACGAGACTTTAGACAAAATGCAGCAAGTGCATAACAAATTACAGCAAAAGTCGCTATTGATACAGCATTACGAGAGGACGCTGGAACAACACAATGAGACTTTGCTCGAACAGAACGACGCGCTCCAACTGCAAAGCGACGAAATACAAGAAAAGGAAAAGAATATACAGAACCTGGAAGCCAAATTACAACAGAAAATAGGGGAATTAACCAGTATTATCCAAGAACGTGAAAGCAGACTGAACGAGACGGCAAAGAAATTCCAGCAGTCCCAGAATAAGATCAAGCAGCAGTCACTGTTCATCCACCTCTTCGAAGTCACGCTGCAGCAACACAACGAAACGCTACACGAACAGAACGATTCGCTCCGGTTGAAAAGCGACGAAATACAAGAAAAGAAAAAGATAATACAGGAACTCGACACCAAGCTACAGCAGCAAGAACAAACCATACAGGACTTGGAACTAACGCGACAGAGTCAGAAGGAGGTCATCCTCGAGCAAAAGGGGTTCATCGACTCCAAAACCGCGAGACTCAAGGAGCAGCAAGGGATACTGCAACAGAGGCAGCAGACAATCCGTCAGCAAGAAGAGAAGATTGAGCAACTCTCGGAAACCGTGCAGCAGATGGAAGAGAAATTGCAACAGCATACAGATAGCAAGCTGCAGTTGGAGGAGGAATTACTGAGTGCACAGCTGATCATAGATGAACAAAACCAGAAAATCACGGAACAGGAGAACATGCTGACACTGAAGGAAAGCGAAATATTTCAACTGGGGGAGATAATTAGCAATATGTCCTATCAAGATGCAAGGTATGACCAGTTATTCCTTTACCTTTGTGATTTAAGTTGCAACCTGTCAGTCATGTGAGAACAGAGGGGATAGACATTAAATACGTCATTGTTCACGGAGGATTCAGTTTTTTATTATGGTCACTACATAAATAATTTATTTCTCCAGAAAGCCCCAAGATTGCGCCGACCTCCATATGCAAGGCAAGAAAAAAAGCGGCAAGTATACCATTTATCCTAAAACGTAAGTGTGTGTGCTGTGTACATGATGTTTCTCTATGCACAGTACCTCCGTGTATGAGTTTAAATGAACCTCTTACTATTCACACATACTATTCCACCTTGAATCACAGTTGGATGAAAGTGGATAGCATGAATTCCCTTACATTCCAAAATCGGCGTGTAGGGCATGGTAGATTAGGGAAAATAATGCTTTTAATACTCCGGCAGGGAAAATGAGAGTGTGGAGGTGTGGTGCAACATGAATGAGGACGGACCCTGGACATCCATACTCGTCCGATCTGACGAATTTCTCCATCAGAATTTCACAAGATCTTGGGAGCAGTATAAAAACGGCTTTGGTGACCCCTCCGCCGAGTACTGGTTGGGTAAAGACCTCTATTGCCTCTGGTTTCATTATTTTTGTATACTAGAGATCTAGCTGGGGTGTCAGAATAAGTCCTATTAACCTAGAATGACCAAAAGTGATATGAGCACATCACATGCCAGTTAGATAATGTCACCTTTTTTTGAGGGATAAAATTACCTATTATGGATTTTTCGAAACATGACCAATAACTGGTATGAATAAGAATGAGTATCTTCACAATACAAGAGATTATTTGATCGGTTTCGATTGTATCTTCGTTAGCAATAAAGATACATCTCTTCTATTGTGAAAATATTCTCACTCATACCTTGTTTACATTTGTCACTAATAATGTATCTTTGACGAATATAACGAAACCGGTTAGATTGTATCTTCGTTAGCAATAAAGATACATCTCTTCTATTGTGAAAATATTCTCACTCATACCTTGTTTACATTTGTCAGCATGCATATGGTTTATAACCAATAACGTTGTATATAGACAAAATAGACCATTAGATTAATCAAGAATAAGAACATAATAAAATTGATATTCTGCATGTGAATTACCTCCAAAGATGTTTTTTTACTGTTATCTGTAGGATTTGGAATGGATTGCCTTCAGAGATTGTAACTTCTTTGACTTGATAAGTTTAAAAGATCAACTAACATTTCTTACGTAAATAGCTGACTTTCTATTCTTTCATTCTTTCTTTGCTGTATCTTGACCTGCAGTGACACCTTTGTTGGTACAAATCTCGACTTTTACAGTGTGGCTCTTTATATAGCTTACAATAATAATAATAAGAATAAGAAAGGGCAGTGGGTCGCGTGCAAGACTTACGGGTCGAGGCAATTGTGCAAAACTCCTGAGCTTAATAATGAACCGTAATGATTTCACAGCGAGAGGTTTTTCATGGCAATTAATGGGTTCGTGGGTTCCAGGTCTTGAGGCCCTTCACTCCATCACGGCTCGAGCTCCACAGGTATTGCAGGTGACGATGGAGGACTACCAGGGGAATGTTTACATTGGTGGCCTAAAAAGCTTCTTTGTAGATGACGAAGACTCTGGGTAAGTGGTGATTCCTAGGTTCGTTGCTACTTGAGCCTTGATACAGGTATATTGGAACTATTAATGTTGTCCCTTTTTATAGTAGAGTAGTCATTATAACAAAGAAATTGTATATGAGAAACTAATAATGATAATTTACCTCGGGTGACAGTAGAACGTGCAAGTTATTCTCAAACTACCACTTTGTCTTTCTCACAGCCCAAAGTTATGAGTGACTAAAACAGCTTCAGACTCTGGATGAATACTTATCATAACGCTAAGGCCCTCACTATTTTCAGGTATCGACTTAGCATGAACGGCAGCCATGGAGCAGGGGATTCTATGCTTTCAAATAATGGCCAAAAGTTTAGCTCCGTTGACAGGGACAACGACGCCTTTCCCTTCGGTAGGCCTATGAAACAAATTTTGAAGTTGTTTGTGTATGCGTGCTGTGAGGGTGATCGGTGTGTGTCTTCGTCCCCTAGTGGTACAGTTGGTCAAAACGAATATGAACATCTGTATCATTCTTGGCCACAGAGAAAGCGTCGAGAACTATGTATCGTCGAAAGGAAAGCATGGCCACCTGCATCACTTACAGTAATAAAGTTGGCCAGTGTGAAAGCGTGGCAGGTGCTGGGCTACAGCTGACTATAATTCCACTTTTGAAAACATTCACTCACTGTTTCTTAATATACAGTGGGAGGGGGTGAATGATGTGTGCTTGTTCTAGGGGTTTTCGAAAATGGAAGTCCTTTTGCCATGAATGTGATTATATACACGGGCTCAATACTTTTCCTTTCCTTCATTTCCGATACAAACATCCTTTGGAGAATTTGAAGTAGTCCCAATAAAGAAAAGAAGAACAGAATATCAAACCCAATTTGCATTTCAGTCAACTGCGCTGAATACTTCGGAGGAGGAGGCTGGTGGTATGCCGGGTGCTCGGCCATCAACCCAACCGGACCGCTGACGTCGAGGACAAGGCCTGCCATGCACTGGGTTATTTACGAACCATCGCCTCAGTTCGTTCGCCTCAGCAAGCTCGTCCTGAAGATACAGCCGTATGACTTCAACTTTTAGCGAGGAATAGACTGAAGACAAGGCTCGAGAGTCGATGTGTTGTGGGGTGGTTTGGAAGTTTAATGGTCTGTATATTGTGGGAGGGAGTTAAGATATGAAAAGGCTGTGTACATAACGCGATTTTTTATCATGTGGTATTTACAGTGACGAAAGGTGCTAGCCAGTGCGATACATTTTTTCTTCGTTCGCGTTGTCTTTAGATCCAACATTGCTACTGAATTGAGAATAAACTCGCATTAAGTAAGGTTCTCAGGATTATGATCTGTTCTTCATATTCTTCTGAAAACCATACGTTTGTATCATCACCTTAATGGCTCGAAAACGTTATTTATATCTTTGTTTCCTACCCAGTCAAAAGCTTAAAAATAATATGATAAAGCAGTAATGTCAAATTATATGTAGATCACAATCGCAAATTGCAATGAATAAAAGATCAGTTAAGTATTTATCTGCAAAAGACGATACGCTGATGTGGAATTT